CACTGTACCCGCTGCACAGTAGAACTTTAAAGTGTGTTTGCTAAAGTGGGAAGCTCTGCCTTCATTTTGCTACTGCTTACAACTACACAGTAAATAAATACTTGTTTTAACTGAATTGATGCAAATAAGTCAACAAGGAAATTATCTTTGTGTTAATAAATTTGTTTCATCTTGAGGCTTAACTAACATTTCCCTTTGGATGTCCCATTGGGCAAGATAAAAGGGAACATTCACCCCTTTTAGGAGAGAGGCTAGTTAGCCTTCAGGGCCAAACTTAGAACAGAGGAGGCTAAAGGTGAAGTTGGGGTAGGTAAAAAGAGATTCGAGCAGTGGATCTCAGGAAAGACTGAGATGCTTTGCTTTTGAAGTTCTGGAACTCTCTGCTGAGGAAGTTTGAAGCCAGAAAATAACTGCTCACAGTTCACTTTAGGACCTCCACCCTGTCAGTCCATGTGAAATCAGGTAGGAATATATAGGAAACCATGTCTCTGGGCTTATAATGTCTAGTTGTATCACTAGGCCACAACCTACTGAGGATCCTCCATGACAGACACAGGACAGAAGATGAACGGAATGGCATGAATGGCAGAGAGTATAGAGACCTCAGTGAAGTCTTCAGAATATGAAAAAAACAGGTCACAGAGTGAGATATTTGGTCTGATAAGAATGGATGGAGCTTGTGTATATGGCAGGTGGGGTTTAGTATAGATATTGGGAGTGATTAACTCTGAACAGATAGGATGGAGCTGAATGCTATTAACACCAACTCCTGTATTCAGACTCTCTCTTTTCCCAGGGAACCATTAAAGACTTCCAAGCACAGGAGCCATGAATGAATTAGAAGGTAACGCTAATGGAGATGGCTGGGGTGGGAACCGAAAGCACAAGGGTGATGTGGACACTGTGAATGCTGTACAGCGCTTGGGAAAAGAGGAGCAGGCAGATTCTCATGCTGTTCAGGAGGGGACTTGTTCAGTTGGAAGTGGATCATGAGGGAGAAGGGACTGGTTAGTTTTTTTTGCCTGAATAACAGGGAGGATGAAACATTCTATCAGAGAAAACATTCCTTGTACAGAACTAGTTCACACAGTTACATGAATTAGTTAATTAAAAAGTTAAAAATCAGCCAGGAGTGGTGGTATATGCCTGTATCCCAGAGACACAGGAGGCTTAGGCAGGAGGATAGAAAGTTCAAGGTCAGCCTGGGTGATTTAGTAAGACCCTGTTTCAAAGATATAAAATAAAATTAAAAAGGGACTGGGGATGTGGCTCAGTGATAGAGCACCCTTGGGTTCAATCTCAATACTTAAAAAAAAAAAGTTGATCAATCTATCGATCACTGGGCAAAATGTAAACAGTCTTCATGACTGAAATTTTCTTTTGCAATCCACCGATATGAGGGCCTCAGCTGGGCACAAATCCAAATGTGCTCATCTATATATAAACCAGCTAATAATTCCTCTAATACCCTCGTAGGTGTTAAGCCTCGCTTGAGTGGTCATTGAAGATTACCAAATTTTTCTTATACTTGCAATGCAAGAGAAATAGAAAAAGATAGTAGTTGCTATAAAGGTAAGAGAGGTCATGGATATTTTTCTCTAATCAAGGAATATTTTGAAGGATCCAATGATTAAAGCCTAATAAAGATGGACTTATTATTTCTCTTGTTCATGATGTTTGCTTTTCTATTTGTTATTAGTTTTTAATTTCCTCTTTATTCAGAGTGGATTAATTTTCTAAAACAATACTATTTTCCCCTTAGAAAGATCAATTCTGTTTCAAACAAGACCAGAATTTCTTTCTGACCATATCCATTTTGAATTCCTACAGATTTTTTTTTTTTAAAAAAATGTGATACTAAAACTAATCCTGGAATTCGCTTCATGCAAATAGAACCCTCTTAGGGGCTTCTGGGGCTTACTTCATTAAAATATGTTATAAACAAATGGCAACATGGCCACATTTTAGCCTCATAAATTTGAATCTTAACTTCTGACGTGAGCCTGCTTCACTGGGGATTTCAATCTGTAGTTGAGAAGGAACAGGGCTGTAATGTGTGAAAACACATTTCTCTAAATTGCATTCACTGAAAGTACCACTCTTTCTCTAAGAGCAAACTAGAATGCATAATCATTCTCATTGGTGAGATTTCAAAACTGGCCATATGAAAAATATGAATAAAATTGCATTTGCTTCAGAAACGTTTTTTAAAAATTGTTTTTTAAACCATAAATGAGATTTGGAAAAGGGAGTTTTGTACAATTAATCTGATGAGTTTTTATTGGATCATTTTATTCTTTCTCTTCTTCTTTCAGAGTGTGGGTTTTTTTTTTTTTTTCCTTGTTCTCCAACACAAACTGCCAGTCATGGCCTACCAGGATTTTTTCCCAAACACTGAGTGGAACTTGAGGTATCGTGTCTGTTTTCCTTAATATCCAAGGTTGACATTTCAAAAAAAGTACTTCTCATCATGTCTTCTACAGAAGGTCTGAAAAAGCACTTTAGGGTCATAATAAAATGATCAGATTATTAAGGTGGGTGATAGAGATGGGGCATATCTTTTTGCTTTCCGAAAGAGTAAGAAATCAACATCCTTTGAACATTCATGAAGCAGAATTGACTCTAAAGTTTATCTCTTTACAGGATTTGATGGGACCCTTTGGTGATCCATGGTCACAAGAACCATTAGAACTCATTAGGCCTGATTGGGTGGCCCCTGGTCTTCATGTTCCAATGGCAGGTTGACAGTCCATGTGGGATTTTCAGGGCACTGGATAGTGCTATCCCACAGAAGGACACTTTCTATGATCTATGTTTCGCCACAATTGTTATGAGCATGGTACAGCTCACGTTTATTTCCTACTCAGTGAAAATCGGTTTTTCAACCTTCTCTTAAGGGCAGGACAAAGCAGAGAACATTGGGCAGGAAGGATGGAGAACACAGTCCTTAGATCTCACTGGGCACTACCAGAAACAAACTTTGACCCCTGAGAGTTCTGCCCAAGATCAGCATGGCACGAGCCTACCGCGGTGACGTTAGCCAATGTGAGTTAACTGAGGACGTACAGGGCAAGATTACTCGCCCTTTTGTTATTTCTGAAACCTGAACTGCTTTTAGAAATAAGGGCTGGAATGTTCCATAGGAACTCAGAGCATGGGACAGAGGGGCATGGCACACACTCGGTGTGGGCTATTTAAAACCAGTGACTTGGCTTCCCTCTGTGATTCTAAATGCGTGTAAGCACATTACCCTGCAGCAGCCGGTAACTATTTCTATAACACTGTCCAGCATCTGTGCTTGTGTTGACTGGACTCTCCCGACAAAAACAAAGTGGAGAGGTGGTAGCTGATTAGGCTGATCAACCCAGGCTTTCTGTGTCACCACTAATGTCCCCCCTGTATGTCAGAGTGAGAGAAACTGTGTGACTGAGACTTCTCAATAAGGCGAGGGAGATGCCTTAGTACTTCAAAAAGAGGCTTTTTAAATGAGCCAAGTATTTACTCAACCACTGAGCAACATAAGCACAATTTATCACTTTCTCAGGCACAGTGAATTCTTATCTTAGGAAAGGATCTCAGCATTAGAGATTTTGTCCCTCTCTGTACTAAGAAGAGTCTTATCTTTTTGGATTGGTTTGATATGTTAACATTTCCCCTAAGCACACAGTTGGCCATCAATCAAACAGATAAACCCTTAAGAAATGATCTACTCAATTGTTAATCACTCAAAGACATTAGCCAGGGGAAGGACATTAGCCAACCTTGTTACATAATGTAAGAACACCTGATCAAGTTTGTAAATTCGATGAAATGACAAGAGTTCTATCTACTTGAATCTTATTCATCTCTGTTAACACCCCTTCAAAGTATGTTTTATTATCTCCATTTTACAGATAGAGAGACTAAGGCTCAGTGAGATTCAGTGATTTTTCAAAAGACTACATGTCTAGGTTCTTGTGAGTAGTGGGGTGAGATTTAAATATAGGGCTTTCCAATTCAATTCCATGCTGTTTTCCCGTGTGTACCTAATCTCAAACAGCCAAAGTAGCCAAGTAAGGCAAGAAAACAAATAGCATGCCTCCACATAAAAAAGCAAAAAAACTTGGGTCCCAAATCATGCAGTTAATAGACCACAAACTCAGTGGATCGGCAATTGACTAATTCTCCCTTGTAACCACCTCGCTACCAACTCAAGTCTGTTGCCTGATACCTGAGCACCAGGAGACCTCTTGACCCCCTCGTGATACTGCTCTAAGAACTAGAACTCCAATTGCCAAATATTACACATCAGAACAAATTATACATGTTACGTTATGCCTGTGAAGAGATCTGATTTCTTAGTCAAATATTATTTTTGGGGATATTTTCAGGCATAGGCTGAATATGTGGCTCCCTTGTGACCAACTCAAAACATATAGCATAGAATAATCTTTTGCACAATCCTATGTTAATATTTTCTTTCCCTCCTTTTAGGGACACTAGTTATAAATTAGATGAGATTAGAAAGCAGTCCCTCAAGAATGGATGTTTTAAGGAATTACCTAGAAAGAACCAAGTTTTTTCCCCCACATGGTAAATCATACAGAGTAGCAGCCTGCCCCAGATCCCCGGGAGACAACATCTTGAACGCATATGGTATGCTGGGCTCTGTATTGACAAATGCAAGAACTCTAGGGCAAAATAACCAAAGTTCCCAAGTTAAAAATGAAAGTAAAATAGTGGAATGGAATTGGGATCCTTGTTGCAACATTCTAGCAACTTCATAAATAGACATTAAAGCACACAGTATTACAGGTTAGCAAATTTACCATTGCAAGAATCAACCTGCACTATTGGTGTGAAGTTGCAAACAAACCCATCTACCCCTCACTTTACTGATAGTCTCTTTCTTTTCAGAAGTATCATCACATGCAACAAAATTAATATCGAACTCATTTTACTAGAAGGCTTATCCAAATATATGCCATATTAAAAATAGTCATGATATAAATATTTCTCACAAGAGCTGCAGCGATGGTGTGAATAAAAAACTCCCTTCTGAGATTTCAGTAAAACCAGATCTCACAAAGGATCTGAAAGAAAACACAAAAAACAAACAGACACACAAAGACACACACACACACACACATACACACACAGAACAAACCTTACGTTAATCCAGTTTAACATAACAGGCACTATTTTAACACTATTTTATGAAGTATGATTGTGTTCCTTCCTAGCTGAAGTAAGAGAGATGAATCTGCTACAGGTTTCTCATATTAATGTTCAGGGCTGGGGGGGGGGGTACAGATCTAAGCATGTCCAGTAGCAGCTAATAAAAATCAAAAATTTGAAATGCAGCAAAATGTTAGCACTGTCAAATGGCCAAGCATGCAAGAGGAACCTCTCTTTCCATGCCCTCCTACCAATACATACAAAACCCCAAATATACTGGCTGGAATTTTAAAATCGTAAATTAGATATCAAAATGCTTACGGGCCTTACAATGAGATAACATCAGGAGGAACGGTGCGTGGAATGGATCTGGCATTCTCACATAAAGCGTTATCTTTGGTACAAGTGCACACAGCAGGGCATTTTGGCTTCGCTGGTTTCTTCCCCTCAGTCAGCAAAAGCGCAGATAAGAGACATAGGCAATAAGCAATTCTTTTCAGGGGGATGCAGGCATTTCCCATCCTTTTGCTTCTTTCTGATTCCATGCAGTCGAAAAAATATCCCCACACATGAACAGGGCTTCTGGAATTCAGCTGGTGATTGTCTTGCTCTAAGAACAGGTCACATAGGAGTCCACCCTTTTCCTCTGCCTCTGTATCTCTGCTTTTCAAAACAGGGACCTGCGGCTGATTCGTGAGCTGCTCCTGGCTCGAGCAGTGCACTGCTCGGGGGAAGAGACCTGAGAGGTGCTGTGAGATGGGAACGATCCAACTGCTGGAGGAAGAGAGCCGACTTGCATCACCAGCAAACACTGAGCACAGACCAGCCTTCGAAGGCAAAGCGAAGTGATGTAACAGAAAATAAACAGCTTTCTGCTTTCACCGGGAGGCCCTTTAATTGTTACCAAAAATAGGACGGCATTATGTCTTATTAGTGGGTGGGTGGGCGAGTGGGTGGGAGCAGTCATCTTGCATAGGATGTCGGCAATCTCGGGAACCTCTGGGAATTGGCTTTTCATGTAGCAAACAACCTAGTAAGAAAAACTAGCTTCAGAGCCAGCCCTGGCTGGAAAAAAATGAAGTTAAATGAAACTCTCCGCTGCATTCGGCTAAAACCTTGATATTTCTTGCTGAGTCCACCTGGTTGGTGGCACTGTTGAAAGATAAATTTGAACACATGGAGAATGTGACTTTCATGGGGATGAAGGTGGGTAAATACTTTTCTGACACGGATCAACTGTCATGAATTATTGATTTTCATAATCCCTCCCCACCCCCCAGGCGTAATCCATTCCCTCTTTCCACGACGAGGGAGGGAAATAGAAGCATAGCCTGCCTCCGCGTATAATCCACCCTCCTCACTTCTCGCACCCTCCCTTCTCTGGCAGGAGCATCAGAGGCCTGGAAGGAACTCCCTGCCAGCAGGAGGCAGCCAACTTTGGCTTCCTGGGGCTTGAAAAAGGCCTGGCTCAGCCCAGGAGGCTGTGATATCGTGGGGGAAACGCTGGACTAAGAACAGGGAGATCTGGCTCAGAGATGCCAGTTCTGCTGGGATTTAGCTGATTTTATAGACAAGGAAACAGTTGAATCTATTCCCCTGTCTGCAAATGGGGGTGGTAGGACAGACACCCCATAATTATTATGAAAATGGTGGGCTGTGTTACTGCTGTCCATCATGGCAAGAAAGATGCACCTTTGAAAATGGAAATCCATTTAAAGGAGGAAAAATTAAAATGCTCTGGCCAAGGGTGGGATAGTCTAGTCTAAGAGGGTGGAAGACCCTTAAGGTGTTAGAAGAGGAGGAAAACCGTCCCCTGGTCCTCTTACTTGCTGAAGGCAGACATCAGGCCACTGCCTTTCTCCTCCTGCTTGTTAGACTGAACATATTAAAATGATTGTTTTAGAAAATGTGTGATTATGGAATAAGCTCATCCTTATCAGAGCATGATGTGTTGCTATTCTACCCTTCCCCTCCACCTCCAATCCCTCCTTTCCCTCTCTATATGCTCTGAGGGCTGGGCAGTGGCAGTCCTGTTCATTCTCTATCTGACCACTGTCCCTTTACCCCAGAGGTCTGAAAGCTCCATGAAGGTAGAGACATTGCTGGGAACCCAGGGCCTGGAGAGAATTGTGCACACAGACAGTAGGGGACCAGCAGGCCTGGGAATGCAACAGTAGCACCTCAGTCTATTCCTGGTAACCACCTACTCTTCCAAATCCATTGAAACTGCACCTCTGAGTTATAATAAAGAGATTTGACTAGTTAAGGAAGTGAGGATCATCCCCCAAAGAAGCAATGATTGGTTCCACACTTTAGCTCTTGTAAATTGAGCTGCTTATAAACATTGATGTGGCTGCATTACTATAATATGCTGTTTTTTAAGTCCTTTGGATATAGACCGAGGAGTGGGATAGCTGGGGCAAATGGTGGTTCCATTCCAATCTTCATACTGTTTTCCAGAGTGGCTGCACCAATTTGCAGACCCACCAGCAATGGGTGTGTCTTCTCCCCACATCCTCACCAACACTTGTTATTGTTTGTGTTCTTGATAACTGCCATTCTGACTGGAGTGAGATGAAATCTTAGAGTAGTTTTGATTAGCATTTCTATAATTACTAGAGGTGTTGAACATTTTTCATATATTTGTTGATCAATTGTATATCTTCTTCTGAGAAGTGTCTGTTCAGCTCCTTAACCCATTTATCAATTTTTTTTGGGTTAACTTTCTAAGTTTTTTTATATATTTGGAGATTAGTGCTCTATCTGAAGAGTATGTGGCAAAAATATGCTCCCAAAATGTAGGCTCTCTCTTCACCTCATTGATTTTTTTTTGTTCAACAGATGAATGGATAAAGAGACTGTGGTAAATATACACAATGGAATATTACTCAGTATTAAAAGAGAATGAAATTATGGCATTTGCAGGTAAATGGATGGACTGGAAAATATCATGCTAAGCAAAGTAAGCCAGTCCCAAATGTTCTCTCTGATAAGTGGATGCTGATCCATAATGGGATAATGGGGGGTGGGCATGGGGAAAAATGGAGGAACAGTGATTGGGCCAAGAGGAGGAGACATGAGGACAGGAAAGATGGTGGAATGAGATGGACATCATTACCCTAGAACATGTGAGATGCACATATGGTGCGATGCTACATATTATACAACCAGAGAAAGGAAAAGTTGTGCTGCAATTGTATACAATGACTCAAAATGCATTCTGCTATCATATAGACCCAATTAGAATAAATAAATTAATTAATTTAAAAAAAAGAAGCAATGATTGAACTAAGTTCCCAGCTAAGGAGGAATGAAAGGGGGTGATGAGAACACTTCAGGTGGTGGACATGGCACATGCAAAGGTCTCCCATGATCTTCAAGCAATGGGAAGCCTCTGCAGAATTCTAAGAAGGGTATTGATAACTGATATATGTTTCAAAAGTAGATTTTTATCACTGAGCCAGTCCCACCCCCACCCCCCACGGTGGGAGGTTGTAAACATGTTTTTTTTTTTAAATGGAGAAATAGAAGAAAATCCTCATCCCAAAAGAAGTCATGATTTAAAAATTGGTTCTACTACTTTTTCATTGTCAAAGGTTCTGTGGAGGAAAGAATATATGATAGTGATTTTAGACATCATTACCTATGGGCAAACCTCACTTTAAACAGTAAAACTGTAAAGTTGGCCACAAATCAGACTTTTCAGTAAATTGAACCCTGCTGCAAGTTCACAGTGGAAACTTGTTCCATAAAGTAATTGCGTGGTGAATATTTTATGGGGGGTGTTTTTATTCACATTGTCACCCCTTCAATTATCGGATTTAAAATGATGTTTTTATAACTATACAACAAAGACCCCAAGAACTTTCAGGGACCTCTGAGACCTTGGATTCAATCCCTGCATATTACATATGGGGAAACTGAGGCACATAATACTTAATGGCAGATCCACCATTCTGCAGGAAACAATGGCAGATGCTTGGTTAATAATACGATTGGTGGAGTCAAACGGGATCATTCACTCTTTGTGTTTCACTTTCAAATACATTTGAAGCCCTTGACTTGTGCTGGTGTGGACACAGTAAAGCAGTTTTCATTTTTGACTCAGTAAAGCTGAGAGGGCAATGAATGAGGGAAAGAAATCATACCCACACTACTCACTTTGCAGCTGTATTTATCTGGCAGTTCAGTCTGTCAGTTCAAGTGGAAAAAGGATCATTGGGGAGGAGGGGGACTCTAAGGACAAATCACAATGGGCATTCTGAAAAGACAGTAACTTATTYTTTTTCTATGGCATTTAAATCCCAGAATTGAATTTTTTATTCAGTTAAAACACCCACCAAGATGAGGCAAAATTTTAACCATGTAAGGCAGGATGCTGGTGGCCTTCCTGGGAACAGGCTCCAGAATGAACGTGAGGAAGGGGTTAGAGTGAGGACGGCAATTGCTTCACCACAGGCTGGGGAGGTCTGGGGTTGGATCCTGGAGGAGAATCTACTACTGACAACCCTCCCATCCTGCCCCTTTGGGAAGCCCAGGGGAGAGCGCAGAGGGTGCAAGCCTAGAGGTTTCCATCAACTTGGAGGCCTTCGGATAAGGTTGGCAACCTACCTGTAGAGGCTGCCCTGGGGAAAGGGGTGGAGACAGGATGAAAGCGGTGCTGGAAGAAGCCCAGGGAAGTTGGGAGGCCTGGCCTAGGCTGGCTCAATGCCCAGTTCAAGCCATAGAGGAGGAGCTGAGCAGGCTCCAGGACTGGCTCTGCACTTTGCCAGCCGTGTGACAATGGACCTATTCCATTTTCCTAAGCCACAATTTTCTCCTCTGCAAAGTGAGGATAGTAATAGTACATAACACATACAGTTGTTGAAAGGATTAAGTAAGATAGTATAACTGAAGTGCTTAGTATGGGGTCTGATACATGGGAGAGGCTCACCATCATCACCACCATGATCATCCTCACAATTCCAACTTGAATTCTTTTTTTTTGGTACTGGGGATTGAACCCAGGGGTACTTGACCACTAAGCCATATCCCCATCCCTATTTTGTATTTTATTTAGAAACAGGGCCTCACTGAGTTGCTTAGTATCTCACTTTTACTGAAGCTGGCTTTGAACTCTAGATCCTCCTGCCTCAGCCTCCTGAGCTGCTGGGATTATAGGTGTGCATCACCGCACCCGGCCCAACTTGAATTCTGAAAGTGTGACTCCTGGTACTTGGAAAGCAAAACTCTCAAATAGAAATGAGGTTAGCTGGTGTCTATATTCACTCTGGGAGTAGGCACTTCTGGGCAGGATGACAGACTGGCAACATCAAGAGACTGGCCATATGAAGGAACCAAGATGCCTCCTGGGAAAGAAAGAACTTGCCACTTTAGGTGAGAGTAACAGCACCCATGCTTGGCCCAATGACAAAGCCCAAAACTGGAGATAGAAAGAGTGGTTATGAATATAAGATGAAGATTCTTTTCAGCCCACTGCTCTTGAACATGTATAATGTTTGAGTGGAGTAAAAGGAACCAACTAGGATCCCAGTAACAAGAGTTGCATGTGGGGACTATGCAGAACACAGTGGTACCTGCAGTCACTGTAGAGAGGTGAGACCAAGTGTCCTCATCTAGCCTGAGGCTCAGACAACTCCAGGAGCAGCTCAACTTTAGTGGCCCAAGAAGCAGTGACAGCCCCTCAGACATCAGAGGAATTGGCAAATGATCCCAACTGGCAGCCAGAGCAAAAGAGAAGGAAAATACGGGACATGGTGGGATGTTTGGGAGCATATATGCAATGTTCCCTGACCATCTTCAGAAAGACTGGAAGAGGGTCCTAGGGGGGCGGTGTGTGCTGACAGTTCTGGAAGAGCCAATGAAAGCAAGGAG